TATTGTTACCTTACAGGGCATCCCCCGGCAAATAGTGTAACGGTCGTCACCTAGTGATATTGAGAAGAAACAGGAGACCCGCAGAATGACAGGATGCATTTGATTTTTCTTCATTTTTTCGGGGATTTCTTGCCTTCCAACAATAGCAGCAGCCGCAACGACACACGAGCCAGGGAGCACGCAGATGGGGCGAGGCATAAGGGCAGCAGCAGCAGCAGCAGCCCATACATCCATACGATACCTTCTTGAGCTCGCTCGTTGCCGCGGTAGGCGGTAGGGAGGGTGGGGGCGTGGAATAACGAGTCGTGATTTTCTACATATACATATCGGAACAGGAACCATGCATAGGGATGATTTCTTTAAAAGCGGCGCCTCCGATTGGCCCAAACCACCGCATTTGAACGAAGCTGATTGGGAGTTTGAAAGCGGGTTTTAAAAGCGGCACTTGGGATTAGTACAGGAGGAGTTGTAATGACGGGGGAGCGCCGGCGGGACAGGCGCGCGCAGCGCTGCACGCGGCAGGACTCTGCACTTTGTCTGCGCAAAGAGAAAGGACACAGATCTCTCACCGAAGCACACACACGTACAACCCACAGCACACGCACAGCACCACAGAGGGNGGAGTTATTTGATGCCCCACGAACGACATGTACTGCCTGGCTCGTACTGCCTCTTCCGACGTCAGATATCGTTGACGGTGTACTCCTCTCACCCGCACATTCCTCGTCGTTCCCCATGTTGTCTTCGTTCGTAGCACCTTCGCAACTGACTCGCTGACGCTTCCGTGTTGTTGTGTCTGCCCACCCCATGACCGTACGGAAAGCTGCTGCCTGCCGTGATCGCTTCTCCTCGTTGCTCTTCTTCTCTGCGTTTGATTTTGTCCCGGGCTTTTTTGCTGAGTTTATGACTAATAGTTTCAAGAAGACGTCACGTTCAGATGGCGAGCACGAAGAATACTCTTTTCCTGTAGAAAATAACAGATGTTGTTCTGAAGCTGCACACGCGAGACAGGGAAAAGCTGCCATGTTTCGCGCAGACTGCAATTTTGCAGGCGTGTACAGCAACAAACTACAGTTTCCTTCGCGTTAACGGTGGTTTACTCGCTAATTTACCGCCAATAGGTGGTGATGGCCCTCCCATCGTGAAGAAAAATCGGGAAAAAAGGAAGGTGCAAACAAAGGTTGGCGCTGAGGGGGATTGAACCCGCAACCTCTGGCACTGAATAACCACACATGGATTCCTTCTCTCAAACTTTAAGACAACGAAAGGACGCGTCATTCGAATTCGCCTCTCCGTATTTTTTTTCGCGCTTCGCGCGCTTCGCGCGAAATAACTATAAATAGTTCCCGGGTTGCCCTACCCATGGACGCTGAGCCTACATATCGTCCTGTGTGTGTAATTAGTTGCACGCAGCCCATCTCCCGAGCGCGCGTGGCGCCCAGAACGTTCTCCGATATTTCCTCGCGCGAGCTCGCCCCCGTCGAAATCAAGCTGTTGTACGTATTGCGGCTCATTTCCGGAGATGAGCGACACGTAACGTGCTGGGGTGTGTTCCACCGAACCGCTCTGGGCAGCGTGTAGAATTATGTCCCCTGTGGTTTAAGGCTGTTAAAACAAGGCCGCCGTTGTTTCAGGGTGCGCTGGGTGGGAACTCCTGCTGCTGCTACTTTGAAACTGAAATAAGTAACGTTTTTTACGCACACGTTGTTGTGGATGTCGTTCGCCCTCGTCGTTGCCGCTACTGCTGTGCAACTCAGGAGGTAATCGTAGCACCGACGTTCCAACCTGGGGGTCGTGTGCATCTGATGCTTTAACTACGTACAATTGTACTCGGATACTTGCACGTGATTTTATTGTTTCCGTCAAGGTTTTGACTGGACACCGCCTGATATTCCTCGTCTGCTGTTCATGAAAAAAATAATCAGGCCATGGTACAACGAAGTGCGCATGGAGTTACACTACAGCAATCACAATAGACCTGCGAAGAGCTAAGAACTGCGTGTACGGCTACATACAGCAACCGTGAGGTTTTGGTTAATAGTGGTGGGTCGTACGTACAGCCGTCGCCGCCGTTGCTGCTTCTTTCTTTGGTTGTTAGGAGTCGTCGCCGAGACACTGCGGCTTGGGATCGGTTGACCGGTTGCAATGCGGATGTACATACTATATTGGTACCAGGTACTTTACCACACGCATTTTCCTGTGTCAGGAAGACGCTGCCGCCGTGATCGCCGAGTTTCAGAATCGTGGCTGCGCATCCAAGAGCGCCCAGCAGGGGTGCGTGAGCAATCTTGCACATTGTTGGAAAAGAAGCAGAGGCATCTTATCAACCGAGTTGTATTCTGAGAGGGCACTCCACTGCTACACACGTGCCATCGCCTCTTCTCTGGATACCCGAAGAACGACTGCTGTACATACCTCGTGTACACGCAACGGACCATATACATACGCAGGTCGTCATGTCAAACAAGAATCGCGCCCCCCCGGCTGTGTGTGTGCCGTCACAAAAGCTTTCACAAACGAGCGAGCGAGCCCGCTGAGGAGCAAGAAAAACGAAATGACTGGGCGCTGCCTAGTGATTGATCATCAGCTGCATACTCTGTCGGCACCACCAAGTGCTTGTATCCGTCCCCCCCCCCCCACGCTCTTCTTTGGCATGTACATCTTGGACCATGCCCTCCTCTGCTCCTGGCTGGGCTGCGGTGCGCTTCAAGAATGGTTGCGCTCTCTTTTCGCTTCGCGAGAACTAAATATCCAAAAAATGTTTGTTTGCCCCACGAAACGTGGTTGAAGAAAAGAGACAAGATCACCACAAGACGGCAGCTGGGTCGGAACGGTCAATCTTGTCGTCTACAGCCCGGTTGTTGTGATGAAGGGCCGCGTCATGTCTACGCAGGGGGCGCAAAGAGGAGGAATTGGAAACTGCTGCCGAAGAGAGAGGACCTGGTCTGATGAGAGGGGACCGACAGGAGTGTCGGTCACAGCAGTCAGCAGCGCGGCATGCAGCTCTGCCCTTGTTGTAGGACAGCGGGTGTGCTCTTTGCGTTGGGTTGGAACACGCCACGATCACGGAAGCTCCCCGAAACTCCGAAAGCCACGGCGGTAATCGGCGCTTCCAGTGGGGACTCGTTCTTTCACCTCTCTCGCTTTGCGGAACGTGTGCGCTCGAATTTTGCAAGGGAGCGGGAGGGGGATTTTTCAGGACCTACTTGTAAATCCATCCAACACAGACCGCGCGGCAGCAGCAGCAGGCAGCAGCAGCAAGCACCCTTTCACTGAACACGTACAACCAACGACACCGACACGCACCCTCACCTTCTGAGCCAGGGCGTCCAGGTCGCAGTCGATGACCACGGCCACGGGACCCATGCCGTTGGGGTCATCTGCGGGCGATGGCTCCACCAAGCTCACACCGTCTATCTTCATCTTTCGTTCGCGTTCCTCCCTCCAAGCTCCGCTTTTTTTTCGTACCACAGGGGCGGCGTTCCCCAACCTTCTCAATATCGACGATGAAATCCCTTGCTCCTTCTGGTATAACGCACGCAGCAGGGACACGCGCGCACACAGGGGAGCCGCCGACCTGCTCTCTCGGGAAAGCAGTAGGCGAGCCTTCCGTCCAGCGGTCGTGCCCCGCAGTCGGACAGCCGAGTCAGCCCAACAGGTCACCGGTGGGTGATGACGTCTAAAAAGAGCGCCCGTCGGAGACGGGGGTTCCGTATGGCGCTGGTAAGGCGTTCTTTTGGCGTTTTAGTTTTTCTAGTTTTTTCGCGGGTTTTCTCTCGAAAATTGGTTTTTCGTTTTTCGTTGACGATCATTTTTGTGACGGCGGGGGCGCGCGGCGCGCACGTTGCATGCTTCGCCTACTGCCGTGCAGCATCAGAATACTATACTGAGAGCTTAAGAGAAGCAACGAGTTGAGAGACCGACTCAGCCCTACTGCAGTAGCAAAGAGCATTTCCCTCCGCCGTGGAACAGAGGGCTAGCCAAAACATCAGTTTTGCTTGAAGATGCGCGACCACAGGTTGGTGCTGCTTCCTGCCGATTCCCTGTCCTGCGAGATCTCACATGTATGTATTTCGTCTGGACTACTGTAGAGATCTATGTAGAAACTACAGCAGTACCATACGTTTTCCCCTCCGTACAGCAGTATTTATTTTCGTACAGTCTTCCTGCTGTTGCAATTAGTCTACAGTGTTTTGTTTTTTTTTGTTTTGTTTTTCTCCCATCATTGGACTCTGTCGTCTGCCCCTCTGGCCCCTATCCTCCACTTCTACTAGCTAGACGACCCAACCGGGGTCATATAGGAGGGGGGGGTTGGACCCCCTCCTGCGGTTCATGCCTGAGGTATTTTTATCGCGAGAAGGGTACAGCAATCCCTTCCCTCGCGACTTACGAAGTCGATTATGGTTTACTAACAAACGAGCTGTGTGTACTGCCCTGGACCACCGAATCAGCGCTAACAACATGGTCTGTACTGAGGGAGTAGTCTAGCCCCAATATTCTACGTGAGTGATAGCGAATGTACTTACCTCTTCAGCCTAACAGAATACATGCTCTGAGGTGGTCAGTTCTGGTAGATATGGACTTGTCCACTATGCTACTCAGTCAGCGCTGACTGAGTGCCGGTGCCACCCTTTTGCGGCTTGCGAAGTCGGCACTCGTGGCCCAGTTTTCGGATGCGGAGGAAACACGATGCGCTTGTTGCTTGTTTCTCGGATGACGCGGAAGAGCGTAATGCTACACAAGCTGGCGTTGAATGTAGCTTGGCTGGCGAAGGGGATGGTGTGCTTCGTATTGAAACAAAAGCGGGGTCGAAGTCGCGTGCTCGCTTGTTTTTCTCTATCAACTGCTGCTGTAGTCTACACACTAAAGTCTGCATTAGGCTGTAGACTACGTACGCAGACTATTAATAAGTACATAATTCACGTTGTACCGAACAAGTGATTTCCTTGGCCTCCTATGTGTGTACATTCCACAGGGAAAGCAGCGGGCAAGTGCCGAGCATGAAAAAAGATGCTGGGACAGACCTTGTCGACGCCGGTATGTTTCTGAGGGGATGCAGGGAACCCATGGAACAGTACCGCGAGTGCCTCATGAAGAACCTGAAGGATTGGCACGGAAGGTACAGCGGTACTACGGGCATTTTCCTGTCCCATTCGCGATGTCTGGACATTATCATAAGTTTCACGATGTACAGTATGTACCCCCTGAGTAGTTGCAGTCTCGATTCGTCCACAACAATAGTAGCAGAAGGCTGTACATGTAGTGGGCACACGGTCAACAGGTGAATCAGTCATCACCGCACAGGGCCGCGTTGGGCACGTTTTGCCAAAACTTCCCGGGGATGTAGTGTTTGATCCTGCCATCCTCTTCTCGGTGGAGCTACAGGCTTGATACGAAACGCACCACGCTACTCGGCTGCACCTGGCCGAACAGCGTGGAAATCTACCACCTGAAGGACTGCCCGTAACCAGGCACTAGAGTTTTCTGGCCAGTGACGTCGGAAAATTCTTTCGAGTCTGTATCCCAATTTTGGGCTTCTTCAGTTTCAAGGTATCCTACCCTCCGCGACAGAGACCATACCTCGGGTCCACCTTCCTGCCTAAAGCCTTCCTCTCGACAAAGCAGCACCTGTTCAGATGGATATCGAGAGAGCCGTGGCCACTCTTTTTTCTCTTTTTCTCCATTCCAAACATTTACTTGACGGATTCCACCCCGGGAAAAAACGCACGAAAAAAACGTTTTTCGCCAAAAAAACGTGTTTCGAGGTTCCGCCGCGCCTTTTCGTACGAATTTCTGCAGTCCAGCTCGTCTGTTTTGTTTTTTCCGTTTGGTGCGTTTATTTTTCCGCGTTTGAAAAAAACAAACTTCATGCGCGCACGCACACATCTACCTTACCGCACCACACGTACTCCGAGAGCACAGCTATCAATCCCTGAGGCAACTGGTGTGGAACCGGCATGCGTTGGGGTCATTTCCGGTGAACGTTTGTGTTTGAAAGAACGTGCTGGGGGCGTGCGTGGTGGGCGTGGTTGGGACAGCTTTTCACCCGCACCAGTGACCGCGGTAGCCGCCTCTCCTACGGCGAACTTTGTATGCATCCCCGCCCCTTCAGGGAGGTAGCGAGTTATCAGTCGCACCAGCGGTCAAGCGCTTGGAAGTCAGGGTTAGCACAGTTCACCCGGCGGCGTGGTTCGAGTTGGGAGCGTGGTTTGAGTTGGGAACGCATTGGAGTTGCAGCATTGCCACTACCGCCAGGACGAGGAAAAGCTCCTCCTCTCCAGCCACCGCCCACAGCAGAGCCGCCGTAATCATCTGCATGATTTGGCCATGCCTCTCATGCCGAATCTTACCACGCTGTAGGCGCGCCATTTGCTTCAGGACGTCAACGCGCGTGCCAACATCACGCCAAATCACGCCGCCGCGTGTTCCGTGATTGCGGAAATATTAAAAGAAAGAGGGGATACTGATGTCCGAAAAAATATCAAGAGCACGGGAGGGTCCCAACCGGCACTACCGTGGAGACAGCGAAACACGATTTTTGAACCGTCACTTTCTGAAACGCGTTTTTCCAAGCACGTTTTTTCCGTGCGTTTTTTAGGTGGAATCCCTAGATTGTCTTGTGTCACCGCGATGGTGTAGACATCAACGCCAGGCAAGGTTGGCACACGAACGTGAAGTTTTATCTCTTTCCCCTTTTAACAAAAACCCCGAGATAGAAACGTGACTAATGCCCAACACGATGGCAGAGGACACGGTTCCGCTCCATGCGCGAATTCCAACTGCACTCATGCCCCTGTACCCCATGGCCCTAGGGGACTCGTCCGCCAAAAGCTATCGGCTGTGAAGATCCACCAGCTGGGGCAGATGAACATTACAAGATTCGACCACCAGAAGGTACGACAGACAAGTTTTTTCGGTTGTTGACTGATTGACTCAAATGTTACAAACTTGAATCTAACGGGGTGGCATGTACGGCCGAGGGGTGGTGGGCACACAACTGCAGATGTTTCAGGCAAATCTGCATACGATAGGGCCTCACTTCGTCTTGTGAGGGGGTGCGGAAAGAGGCGGAAATATGGCACCCCCCCTAGACCGATACCCCCCCCTCCGGTGTTTACCATCGGGGTTGGGTTTTCGTCGCTTGGCAATGACGTTGTAAAACAAGCCGCCCCCCCCTCGGTGTTTGCCATCGGGGTTGGGTTTTCGTCGCTTGGTAACGACGTTGTAAAACAAGCCAATTCACTTCGTGAACTCGGCAACCAGGTTACCGTTTGTTTTTTTTTACCTCCGTTTTTTTTCGTGGCGGTAACCATAATGGTGGTCGAGTAGATCATGTTGTGCGGGGTGGAGAATCCTCACTCCGCGCAAGGGGGATGATCGCACCACGTTGTGTGAAAATGGTCAAGCACCCTCGAGGCAGTTACATAGTGCTTACAACTGTCTCTGGAAGTGAAAGCACCAGAAAGTAAATTAAGTCATACGCAGCTGTTATCCGTACGCAAGGAAGTAAGCACAAGATGCCGAAAACCCTTAGCAGGATGCAGCGCACCCTTCATGCGACTCGCCGAATATCTCACGGCGCTTCGCGCTTGGTGATGTGAGAGCCTGGTCCGGTGAGAACC